TGGGAGGGGTTTTGAGTGGATTTTGGGGTCACTTTGGGGGTCTCTGGGTGGATTTTGGGGAGGATTTTGGGGTGAATTTTGGGGTCTCTGGGTGGATTTTGGGGAGGATTTGGGGGTGGATTTGGGGTCTCTGGGTGGATTTTGGGTGGATTTTGGGGTGGATTTTGGTGATGTCTGGGTGGGTTTTGGGGTGGATTTTGGGGTAATTTGGGGGGTCTCACCCCATTTCCCCCCCCCAGGGCTGTCCCTGGTGGCCCTGCTGACCCACCCTGGGGTGGGGGGGGTCCTGTCGGGGCCCCCCCCGGTTCGCTGGGATGGGTGGGGGTCTCTGGCCCCTCCCCGCGGTGGCTGCCCCTCCCCTCTTCGTCGGCTCCTGTCCCGGGTGCGGGCGTGGCCTTCGTCACCCGGGACCCCCCGAAATCCCCCGGTCACCCTGAGGTTCCAGCACCCCCCCGTACGTGGGACCCCGAATTGGGGGAGACCCCAAAAATGGGGAGGGGAGACCCTGAAATTGGTGGGGGTGGGACCTTAAAATGGGGGTGGGAGACCCCAAAAATGGGGGTGGGGACCCCAAATTCTGGGGTGGGGACCCTGAGATTCCAGAACCACCCCCCGGCATGTGGGACCCTGAATTGGGGAGACCTCAAAATGGGAGGGGAGACCCCAAGAATTGGGAGTTGAGAACCCGAAATTGGGGGGAGACCCCAAAAATGGGGGTGGGACCTTAAAATGGGGAGGGGGACATTGGGGGTTGGGAGACCCCAAAATGGGGAGGGGAGGGGCTGGGGGCCCCAAAATGGGGAGGAGACCCCAAAAGGGGAGGGAAGGGACCCTAAAAGAGGAGGGGACCCCAAAGGGATTTGGGGACCCCAAAAGAGGGGAGGGGAGCCCCAAGGGGGCTTGGGGACCAAAAGGGGGACCCCAAGGGACCCCAAGGGAGGATCCCCAAAGGGGCTTTGGGGACCCCAAAAAGGGGGATCCCCAAAGGGACCCCCAAAAGAGGGTGGGGATCCCCAAAGGGGAGGGGGACCCCAAAAGAGGGGATCCCCAAAGGGGGCTTGAGGACCCCAAAAGAGGGGGGAGCCCCAAAGGGGGCTTTGAGGACCCCAAAAAGGGGGGAGCCCTAAAGGGGTTTTGGGACCCTAAAGAGAGGGAGGGGAGCCCAAAGGGGGTTTAGGACCCCAAAAAAGGGGGAGCCCCAAGGGGGTTTAGAACCCTAAGATGAGGGGTGGGGAGCCCCAAGTGGGGCTTGGGGACCCCAAAAGAGGGAGGAGAGCCCCAAAGGGGTTTTGGGGACCCCAAAAAAAGGGAGGGGGGAGCCCCAAGGGGGGTTTGAGGACCCCAGAAAAAGGAGGGGGACCCCCAGAGGGGTTTGGGAACCCCAAAAAGAGGGAAGGGGGAGCCCCAGAGGGGGTTTGGGGACCCCAAAAAAAGGGGGGGGGACCCCCAAAGGGGTTTGGGGACCCCAAAAAGGGGGATCCCAAAGGGGTTGGGGACCCCAGAAAGAGGGGGATCCCCAGAGGGGTTTGAGGACCCCAAAAGAAGGGGGACCCCCATAGCGAGAGGACCCCCCCAAAAAAGGGGATGAGGGACCCCCATTGAGTGATGAGGGGACACTCCAGGACTGATGGGGACCCTTTTAACCCCCCCCCAGGACCCCAAATTGGGGGGGAGGGTCCTCTGCGCCTTCTGGGACCCCCGGGAGCTGCGCTGGGACACGGGGGGGTGTCGGGAGGTGCCCCCCAAAAACGGGACCCCCCCCCCTGGGGGCACCGTCTGTGCCTGCGACCACCTGACCAGCTTTGCTGTGCTCTTGGCCTTCCACGAGCTGCAGGTGAGAAAATAAACCCCAAAAATGCCCCAAAATCACCCAAAAATCACCCCAAAATACCCTTAAAATACCCCCCAAAACCCCCAGCCTTCCACGAGCTCCAGGTGAGTAAAAATCACCCAAAATCACCCCAAAATACCCTTAAAATACCCCCAGCCTTCCACGAGCTCCAGGTGAGCCAAAAACAGCCAAAAACGCCCCAAAATCACCCCAAAATACCCCAAAATACCCTTAAAATACCCCCCAAAACCCCCAGCCTTCCACAAGCTCCAGGTGAGCAAAAAACAGCCAAAAACACCCCAAAATCACCCAAAAATGCCCCAAAAACACCCCAAAATACCCCCTAAACCCCCCCCAAAACCCCCGGCCTTCCACGAGCTCCAGGTGAGCCAAAATCACCCAAAATCACCCCAAAATACCCCCTAAACCCCCCCCCAAAACCTCCTGGCCTTCCACGAGCTCCAGGTGAGCCAAAATCACCCAAAATCCCCCCAAAATCACCCCAAAATACCCTTAAAATACCCCCTAAAACCCCCGGCCTTCCTCGAGCTCCAGGTGAGTCAAAAACAGCCAAAATCACCCCAAAAACGCCCCAAAATAGCCTTAAAATACCCCCCAAAACCCCCAGCCTTCCACGAGCTCCAGGTGAGCCAAAACCAGCCAAAATCACCCCAAAAATGCCCCAAAATACCCCAAAATACCCCAAAAACACCCCCTAAAACCCCCAGCCTTTCACGAGCTACAGGTGAGAAAAAAAAACCAAAAATGCCCCAAAATCACCCCAAATCACCCCAAAATACCCTTAAAACACCCCCTAAAACCCCCCTGCCTTCCACGAGCTCCAGGTGAGCAAAAAACAGCCAAAATTACCCCAAAATCACCCCAAAATACCCCAAAATACCCTTAAAATACCCACTAAAACCCCCAGCCTTCCACGAGCTCCAGGTGAGTAAAAAACAGCCAAAATCACCCCAAAATCACCCCAAAATCACCCTAAATCCCCCCAAAATACCCTTAAAATACCCCCTAAATCCCTCAGCCTTCCACGAGCTCCAGGTGAGCAAAAATCACCCAAAATCACCCCAAAATCACCCCAAAAACTCCCCCTAAACCCCCAGCCTTCCACAAGCTCCAGGTGAGCCAAAAACAGCCAAAATTACCCCAAAATCACCCCAAAATACCCTTAAAACACCCCCAAAACCCCCCAGCCTTCCACGAGCTCCAGGTGAGCCAAAAACAGCCAAAATCACCCCAAAAACACCCCAAAATACCCCCTAAACCCCCCCCAAAACCCCCTGGTCTTTCATGAGCTCCAGGTGAACCAAAAACAGCCAAAATCACCCCAAGAACACCCCAAAATACCCCAAAAACACCCCCTAAACCCCCCAGCCTTCCACGAGCTCCAGGTGAGCAAAAATCACCCCCAAATCGCCCCAAAATCACCCCAACACACCTCCGGGACCCCCAAAATCCCCTCAGGGACCCCCAAATCCCCCAGAGACCCCCAAACTGCCCCATAAACCCCCCCCAGGGACCCCCCAACCTCCCAGGACCCCCAAACTCCCCCAGAGACCCCCAAACATGCCCCCTAACACTCCCCCTGGGACCCCCAACCCCCAGGGACCCCAAACCCCCTGGGGACCCCCCAACCTCCAGGGACCCCCCAAACTCCCCCCCAGGGACCCCCAACCCCCCCAGTCCCCCCAAACTCCCTCAAGGACACCCAACCCCCCAGGGACCCCAAACTCCCCTTAAGGACACCCAACCCCCTCAGGGACCCCCAAACTCCCCAGTGACCCCCAAACTGCCCCTTAAAGCACCCCCAGGGACCCCCAAAACCCCACAGGAACCCCCAACCACCCCAGGGACTCCCCAAATTCCCCCAGTCCCCCAAACCCCCAGGGACCCTCAGGACCCCCAGGGACCTCCAAAGCCCCCAGTCCCCCCAAACCTCCCCAGGGACTCCCAAACTCCCCCAGGGACCCCCAAACTGCCCCTTAAACCCCCCCAGGGACCCCCAAACCCCCTCCCTGTTGGCAGTCTGGGGGTCTCTGAGCCCCCCTGCCCCCCCCCAGGAGCACTGGTTGCTGGTCCTGGGGGTCTCTGCTGCTCCTGGGGGTCTCTGAGCTGGCCCTGGGGGTCTCTCTGGTGGCCCTGGGGGTCTCTGAGCTGACCCTGGGGTCTCTGAGCTGAGCCCTGGGGGTCTCTGCTGGCCCTGGGGTCTCTGAGCTGGCCCTGGGGGTCTCTCTGGTGGCCCTGGGGGTCTCTGAGCTGACCCTGGGGGTCTCTGAGCTGGCCCTGGGGGTCTCTGCTGGCCCTGGGGGTCTCTCTGAGCTGGCCCTGGGGGTCTCTCTGCTGGCCCTGGGGGTCTCTGAGCTGGTCCTGGGGGTCTCTGAGCTGGCCCTGGGGGTCTCTCTGCTGGCCCTGGGGGTCTCTCTGGTGGCCCTGGGGGTCTCTCTGGTGACCCTGGGGGTCTCTAAGCCCCCCTGTTCCCCCCCCAGGATCACTGGCTGCTGGACCTGGTGACCCAGCTGGCCCTGGGGGTCTCTCTGCTGGCCCTGGGGGTCTCCCAGCTGGCCCTGGGGGTCTCTCTGCTGGCCCTGGGGGTCTCTGAGCCCCCCTGTTCCCCCCCCAGGAGCACTGGCTGCTGGACCTGGTGACCCAGCTGGCCCTGGGGGTCTCTGAGCTGGCCCTGGGGGTCTCTCTGCTGGCCCTGGGGGTCTCTGAGCTGGCCCTGGGGGTCTCTCTGCTGGCCCTGGGGGTCTCTGAGCTGGCCCTGGGGGTCTCTCTGCTGGCCCTGGGGGTCTCTCTGCTGGCCCTGGGGGTCTCTGAGCCCCCCTGTTCCCCCCCCAGGAGCACTGGCTGCTGGACCTGGTGACCCAGCTGGCCCTGGGGGTCTCCCTGGTGGCCCTGGGGGTCTCGGTGGCCACCTTTGGGCTGTGCCGGGCCCTGGGGGGGCTTCGGACCACCCTGCACCTGCACCTGAGCCTGAGCCTGCTGGTGGGGCAGGGAACCTTCCTGCTGGGCATCCACGGAACCCACAACCAGGTATGGGATTTATGGGGTTAAAATCAGGATTTATGGGGTATTTATGGGATTTATGGGGGTCCTGGGGGGGATTTATGGGGTTAAAATGGGGATTTATGGGGTCAAAATCGGGATTTATGGGGTTAAATGGGGATTTATGGGGGATTTATGGGATTTATGGGGGTCCTGGGGGGGATTTATGGGGTTAAATGGGGATTTATGGGGTTAAAATGGGGGTTTATGGGGATTTATGGGGTTAAATGGGGGTTTATGGGGGATTTATGGGATTAAAATGGGGATTTATGGGGGTTTGGGGGTTAAATGGGGGTTTATGGGGGGTTTGGGGGTCCCAGGGCCCCTTCCTGCTGGGCATCCACGGAACACACAGCCCAGTACGAGGGTCCTGGGGGTCCCTGGGGGGATTTGGGGGGTCCTGGGGGAGATTTGGGGGTCTTGGAGAGGATTTGGGGGGGAGTTTGGGGTATTTTTATTAGGATTTTGTTGATTTTGGGAGAATTTTGGGGTTCCAAACCCCCCCCATGTCCCCCTCCCCCAGTTTTGATGCCGGGGGGTGCCCGTGGGGCCCCGTGGATGTTTTTGGAGGGGCTGTTCCTGGGGGGGTTCATTGGGATTTTATTGTGATTTTATCGGGATTTTGATGATTTTTATCAGGATTTTGGGTTATTTTTGGGTTATTTTTGGGGTATTTTCGCCCCCCAGGTGCTGTGCCGGGGGGTGGCGGTGCTGTTACACCTCTCTTTCCTGGCTGTTTTCTCCTGGATGTTTTTGGAGGGGCTGTTCCTGGGGTTGTTTTATTGGGATTTATTGTGTTTTTATCGTGTTTTTATCAGGATTTTGCTGATTTTTGGGTTATTTTTGGGGTATTTTCCCCCCCCAGGTGCTGTGCCGGGGGGTGGCGGTGCTGTTACACCTCTCTTTCCTGGCTGTTTTCTCCTGGATGTTTTTGGAGGGGCTGTTCCTGGGGGGGTTCATTGTGATTTTATTGTGATTTTATCGGGATTTTGATGATTTTTATCAGGATTTTGGGTTATTTTTGGGGTATTTTCCCCCCCCAGGTGCTGTGCCGGGGGGTGGCGGTGCTGTTACACCTCTCTTTCCTGGCTGTTTTCTCCTGGATGTTTTTGGAGGGGCTGTTCCTGGGGGGTTTTATTCTGATTTTATCGGGTTTTTGATGATTTCTGATGGGATTTTGCTGATTTTTGGGTTATTTTTGGGGTATTTTCCCCCCCCAGGTGCTGTGCCGGGGGGTGGCGGTGCTGTTACACCTCTCTTTCCTGGCTGTTTTCTCCTGGATGTTTTTGGAGGGGCTGTTCCTGGGGGGGTTTTATTGTGATTTTATCGGGATTTTGATGATTTTTATCAGGATTTTGGGTTATTTTTGGGGTATTTTCCCCCAGGTGCTGTGCCGGGGGTGGCGGTGCTGTTACACCTCTCTTTCCTGGCTGTTTTCTCCTGGATGTTTTTGGAGGGGCTGTTCCTGGGGTGTTTTATTGTGATTTTATCGGGATTTTGATGATTTTTGGGGTATTTTTGGGTTATTTTTGGGTTATTTTTGGGGTATTTTCCCCCCCCAGGTGCTGTGCCGGGGGGTGGCGGTGCTGTTACACCTCTCTTTCCTGGCTGTTTTCTCCTGGATGTTTTTGGAGGGGCTGTTCCGGGGGGGGGTTCATTGTGATTTTATTGTGATTTTATCAGGATTTTATCAGGATTTTGCTGATTTTTGGGTTATTTTTGGGGTATTTTTGCCTCCCAGGTGCTGTGCCGGGGGGTGGCGGTGCTGTTACACCTCTCTTTCCTGGCTGTTTTCTCCTGGATGTTTTTGGAGGGGCTGTTCCTGGGGGTGTTTTATTGTGATTTTATTGTGATTTTATCGGGATTTTGATGATTTTTATCAGGATTTTGGGTTATTTTTGGAGTATTTTGCCCCCAGGTGCTGTGCCGAGGGTGGCGGTGCTGTTACACCTCTCTTTCCTGGCTGTTTTCTCCTGGATGTTTTTGGAGGGCTGTTCCGGGGAGTTCATTGTGATTTTATTGTGATTTTATCGGATTTTGATGATTTTATCAGGATTTTGATGTTATTTTGGGGTATTTTCCCCAGGTGCTGTGCCGGGGGTGGCGGTGCTATTACACCTCTCTTTCCTGGCTGTTTTCTCCTGGATGTTTTTGGAGGGGCTGTTCCTGGGGGTTCATTGTGATTTTATTGTGATTTTATCGGGATTTTGATGATTTTTATCAGGATTTTGGGTTATTTTTGGGGTATTTTCCCCCCCCAGGTGCTGTGCCGGGGGGTGGCGGTGCTGTTACACCTCTCTTTCCTGGCTGTTTTCTCCTGGATGTTTTTGGAGGGGCTGTTCCTGGGTGTTTATTGGCAGATTTTATCGGGATTTTGTTCCTCGATTCTGGTCGGGTCTTTCCCCCGTGGCTGAGCCTCGGTGTTTGCTGGAGTATTTTCCCAGGTGCTGTGCCGAGGGTGGCGGTGCTGTTACACCTCTCTTTCCTGGCTGTTTTCTCCTGGATGTTTTTGGAGGGGCTGTTCTGGGGGTTCATTGTGATTTTATTGTGATTTTATCGGGATTTTGATGATTTTTATCAGGATTTTGGGTTATTTTGGGGTATTTTCCCCTAGGTGCTGTGCCGGGGGGTGGCGGTGCTGTTACACCTCTCTTTCCTGGCTGTTTTCTCCTGGATGTTTTTGGAGGGGCTGTTCCTGCACACCTTGCTGGTCCGGGTCTTTCCCCCCCCGTGGCTGAGCCCGCGGTTGTTGCTGCTGGGGGTGCACGGGGGGCCCGCCCTGGTGGTCGCCGTGGCTGCCTCTGCCTTCCCGGGGGGCTACGGGACCCCCAGATAGTGAGTGGGGGTTTTGGGGGGCTTTGGGGGGCTTTAGGACCCCTGAGGGGGGTTGGGAGTACGGGGGCCCGCCCTGGTGGTCGCTGCGGCCGCCACCGCCTTCCCGGGAGCTACGGGACCCCAGATAGTGAGTGGGGGTTTGGGGGCACAGGGGGCTACGGGACCCCTGAGGGGGTTGGGGTACGGGGGCCCGCCCTGGTGGTCGCCGTGGCTGCCTCTGCCTTCCCTGGGGCTACGGGACCCCAGATAGTGAGTGGGGGTTTGGGGGGCTTTGGGGGCTTTGGGACCCCCTGAGGGGGTTGGGTGCAGGGGGCCCGCCCTGGTGGTCGCTGCGGCCGCCACCGCCTTCCCAGGGGCTACAGGACCCCAGATAGTGAGTGGGGGGTTTGGGGGGCACAGGGGGCTACGGGACCCCTGAGGGGGTTGGGATGCGGGGCCCGCCCTGGTGGTCGCCGCGGCCGCCACTCGCCTTCCCGAGGGCTACGGGACCCCAGATAGTGAGTGAGGGGCTTTGGGGGGCTTTGGGGGCTTTGGGACCCCCAGATAGTGAGTGAGGGGCTTTGGGGGGCTTTGGGGGCTTTGGGACCCCAGATAGTGAGTAGGGGGTGGGGGAGGAAGGGGATTTGGGACCCCTGAGGGGGGATGGGGAGGAAAGGGGAGGGGCTTCAGGACCCCAGATAGTGAGTGTGGGGTGGGGGTGTCACAGAGGGGCTTTGGGATCCCCACATAGTGAGTGGGGGTTTGGGGGGTTTGGGGGCTTTGGGACCCCCTGAGGGCGGAGGATGGGGGAGGGGAAAGGGAGGGCTTCGGGACCCCCTCATAGTGAGTGGGGGTTTGGGGGCTTTGGGACCCCTAAAGGGGGAGGGGAGGGGAAAGGAAGGGGCTTTGGGACCCCAAATAGTGAGTGGGGGTTGGGGGGAAGGGGGCTTTGGGACCCCAGATAGTGAGTGAGGGGTTTGGGGGCTTTGGGACCCCTAAAGGAGTGAGGAGGGGGGAAATGGGAGGGGCTTTGGGACCCCCAAATAGTGAGTGGGGGTTTGGGGGCTTTGGGACCCCTGAGGGGGTTGGGGTACGGGGGCCCGCCCTGGTGGTCGCCGTGGCTGCCGCCGCCTTCCGGGGGCTACGGGACCCCAAATAGTGAGTGAGGGGTCTGGGGGGTTGGGGGGTTTGGGACCCCACATAGTGAGTAGGGGGTGGGGGAGGAAGGGGATTTGGGACCCCCTGAGGGGGATGGGGGAGGGAAAGGGGAGGGGGCTTCAGGACCCCAGATAGTGAAGTGTGGGGTGGGGGTGTCACAGAGGGCTTTGGGATCCCCACATAGTGAGTGGGGGTTTGGGGGTTTGGGGGGGCTTTGGGACCCCCTGAGGGCAGGGATGGAGGAGGGGAAGGGGAGGGGCTTGGGACCCCCTCATAGTGAGTGGGGGTTTGGGGTCTTTGGGACCCCCTGAGGAGGTTAGGGTACGAGGGGCTTTGGGACCCCCAAATAGTGAGTGGGGGTGTGGGGGGGAGGAAGGGGGCTTTGGGACCCCTAAAGGAGGAGTGGGGAGGGGAAAAGGGAGGGGCTTGGGACCCCAAATAGTGAGTGGGGGTTTGGGGGGCTTTGGGGGCTTTGGGACCCCTAAAGGGGAGGGGAGGGGGAAATGGGAGGGCTTTGGGACTCCCAAATAGTGAAGTGGGGGTAGGGGGGAAGGGGGCTTTGGGACCCCAGATAGTGAGTGAGGGGTTTGGGGGCTTTGGGACCCCTAAAGGGGCGAGTGGGGAGGGAAATGGGAGGGCTTTGGGACCCCCTCTTAGTGAGTATTCCCAGTCCTCTCCAGTCTCTCCCAGTAATCCCAGTCCCTCCCAGTCCCCCAATCCCCTCCCAGTGCTCCCAGTGCCCCCCCGTGTCCCCAGTCCCTCCCAGTCCCCTCCCAGTGCCCTCCCAGTCCCTCCCAGCCCCTCCCAATCCCCTCCCAGTCCCTCCCAATCCCTCCCAGTGCCCCCAGTCCCCCCAGTGCCTCCCAGTCCCTCCCAGTACCCCCATGTCCCCATTGCAGTTGTTGGCTGTCCCTGGCCCGGGGTTCCGCTGGAGCTTCCAAGGACCCGTCATCGTCATCCTGGCGGTGAGACCCCCTGTCACCCCCTGTCACCCCCTGTCACCCCAGGACCCCCTGACCCCCTGTCACCCCCTGTCACCCCAATGTCACCCCCCAGACCCCCCAGTGTCACCCCAGTGTCACCCCAATGTCACCAGTGTCACCAGTGTCACCAGTGTCACCCCAATGTCACCAGTGTCACCAGTGTCACCAGTGTCACCAGTGTCACCCCAGTGTCACCCCCATCATCGTCATCCTGGCGGTGAGACCCCCAGGACCCCCTGTCACCCCCTGACCCCCAGTGTCACCCCCTGTCATCGTCATCCTGGCGGTGAGACCCCCAGGACCCCCCTGTCACCCCCTGACCCCCTGTCACCCCCTGTCACCCCCAATGTCACCCCCTGACCCCCAGTGTAACCCCTGTCATCGTCATCCTGGCGGTGAGACCCCAGGACCCCCCTGACCCCCAGTGTCACCCCCTGACCCCCTGTCACCCCTGTCACCCCAGTGTCACCCCAGTGTCACCCCAGTGTCACCCCAGTGTCACCCCAGTGTCACCCCCATCATCGTCATCCTGGCAGTGAGACCCCAGGACCCCCTGTCACCCCCTGTCACCCCTGACCCCCAGTGTCACCAGTGTCACCAATGTCACCCCAGTGTCACCCCCTGTCACCCCCTGTCACCCCATGACCCCCTGACACCCCTGACACCCCCTGTCACCCCAGTGTCACCCCAGTGTCACCCCAGTGTCACCCCCTGACCCCCTGTCACCCCAGTGTCACCAGTGTCACCCCAGTGTCCCCAGTGTCACCCCAGTGTCACCCCAGTGTCACCAGTGTCCCCCCAGTGTCACCCCAATGTCACCCCCTGACCCCCTGTCACCCCCTGTCACCCCCTGACCCCAGTGTCACCCCAGTGTCACCCAGTGTCACCCAGTGTCACCCCAGTGTCACCCCAGTGTCACCCCCGTCATCGTCATCCTGGCGGTGAGACCCCCTGTCACCCCCTGTCACCCCCTGGACCCCTGGGACCCCTAGACCCCCCAGTGTCACCCCCTGTCACCCCCTGACCCCCTGTCACCCCCTGTCACCCCAGTGTCACCCCCTGTCACCCCCTGCCCCCAGTGTCACCCCCTGCCCCCAGTGTCACCCCAGTGTCACCCCGTCATCGTCATCCTGGCGGTGAGACCCCCTGACCCCCTGGACCCCCTGGGACCCCCAGTGTCACCAATGTTACCCCCTGTCACCCCCCGTTACCCCCTGACCCCCAGTGTTACCAGTGTCACCCCAGTGTCACCCCAGTGTCACCCCCTGTCACCCCCCTGTCACCCCAGTGTCACCCCAGTGTCACCCCAGTGTCACCCCAGTGTCACCCCCTGACCCCCTGTCACCCCCTGACCCCCCTGTCACCCCTCTGTCACCCCAGTGTCACCCCAATGTCACCCCTGTCACCCCCTGTCACCCCAGTGTCACCAGTGTCATCCCCCTGGACCCCCGGACACCCCCAATGTCACCCCAATGTCCCCCTGTCCCCAATGTCCCCAATGTCCCCTCAATGTCCTCTCAATGTCCCCACTGTCCCCTCAGTGTCCCCATGTCCCCAGTGTCTCCTCACTGTCCCCACTGTCCCCCTGTCCCCAGTATCCCCAGTGTCCCCACTGTCCCCACTGTCCCCCTGTCCCCAGTATCCCCAGTGTCCCCTCACTGTCCCCACTGTCCCCAATGTCCCCAATGTCCCCACTGTCCCCTCACTGTGCCCTCACTGTCCCCAATGTCCCCAATGTCCCATGTCCTCCCTGCTGTCCCCACTGTCCCCAATGTCCCCCTGTCCCCTCACTGTCCCCCTGTCCCCAGTGCCCCATTTGTCCCCTCATTGTCCCTGTTGTCCCCTCAATGTCCCCTCAGTGTCCCCAATGTCCCCAATGTCCCCTCACTATTCCCACTGTCCCCAATGTCCCCTCAGTGTCCCTGTTGTCCCCTCCCTGTCCCCAATGTCCCCAATGTCCCCACTGTCCCCTCAGTGTCCCCTCCCTGTCCCCAGGTCAACGCCGTCGTCCTCGTTGTCACCGTCTGGAAGTTGGTGGAGAAATTCCATGAGGTGACCCCGGACATGGGACACCTGAGGAGGGTCAGGTAGGGACACTGAGGGGACATTGAGGGGGTCACAGGGACATGGGACACCTCAGGAGGGTCAGGTGGGGACACTGAGGGGACATTGGGGGGTCACAGGGACAGGGGACACCTCAGGAGGGTCAGGTGGGGACACTGAGGGGACATTGGGGGGGTCACAGGGACAGGGGACACCTCAGGAGGGTCAGGTGGGGACACTGAGGGGACATTGGGGGGACACTGAGGGGACATTGGGGACATTGGGGAAACTGAGGGGTCACAGGGACACTGGGGACACTGAGGGGACATTGGGGACATTGGGGACATGGGACACCTGCGGAGGGTCAGGTGGGGACACTGAGGGGACATTTGGGGGACATTGGGGGGGTCACAGGGACATGGGACACCTGAGGAGGGTCAGGTGGGGACACTGAGGGGACATTGGGGACATTGGGGACACTGAGGGGACATTGGGGACACTGAGGGGACACTGGGGACATGGGGGACATTGGGGACATTGGGGACACTGAGGGGACATTGGGGACATTGGGGGGTCACAGGGACATGGGACACCTGAGGAGGGTCAGGTGGGGACATTGGGGATATTGGGGACATTGGGGGGACATTGGGGACATGGGACACCTGAGGAGGGTCAGGTGGGGACAGTGGGGACACTGGGGACACTGAGGGGACATTGGGGACATGGGACACCTCAGGAGGGTCAGGTGGGGACAGTGGGGACACTGGGGACACTGAGGGGACATTGGGGGATCACAGGGACATGGGACACCTCAGGAGGGTCAGGTGGGGACATTGGGGACACTGAGGGGACATTGGGGACATGGGACACCTCCGGAGGGTCAGGTGGGGAAACTGAGGACATTGAGGGGACATTGGGGACATAGAGGGGACACTGAGGGGACATTGGGGACATGGGACACCTCCGGAGGGTCAGGTGGGGACATTGAGGGGACATTGAGGGGACACTGAGGGGACATTGGGGACACTGGGGACATTGGGGACACTGAGGGGACACTGAGGGGTCACAGGGACATGGGACACCTGAGGAGGGTCAGGTGGGGACATTGGGGACATTGGGGACATTGGGGACACTGAGGGGACATTGGGGACACTGAGGGGACACTGGGGACATTGGGGACATGGGACACCTCAGGAGGGTCAGGTGGGGACATTGGGGACATTGGGGACATTGGGGGGTCACAGGGACATGGGACACCTGCACAGGGTCAGGTGGGGACATTGGAGGGTCACAGGGGTCACAGGGGACATGGGACACCTCAGGAGGGTCCCAGGAGACACTGGGGGTCCCAGGGACACCCCGAGGGGTCCGGGGGGACATAGGGGGGTCCCAGGGAACACTGGGGGGTCGGGGGGACATTGAGGGGTGTCCCCAGTGTCCCCAGTGTCCCCCAGGGTGCTGGTGGTGACAGCGCTGGGCCAGCTGTGCCTGCTGGGCACGGGGGGCACTGGGGGGATATTGGGGGTCCCAGGTGACATTGGGGGGTCCCAGGGGATATTGGGGGTCCCAGGGGACATTGGGGGGTGTCCCCAGTGTCCCCAGTGTCCCCAGTGTCCCCAGTGTCCCCTGTGTCCCCCAGGGTGCTGGTGGTGACAGCGCTGGGCCAGCTGTGCCTGCTGGGCACGGGGGGCACTGGGGGGACACTGGGGGGTCCCAGGTGACATTGGGGGGACATTGGGGGGTCCCAGGGGACATTGAGGGGTGTCCCCAGTGTTCCCAGTGTCCCCAGTGTCCCCTGTGTCCCCAGGGTGCTGGTGGTGACAGCGCTGGGCCAGCTGTGCCTGCTGGGCACGGGGGCACTGGGGGGCATGGGGGACACTGGGGGATATGGGGGGACATTGGGGTCCCAGGGGATATTGGGGGTCCCAGGGGACATTGAGGGGTGTCCCCAGTGTCCCCAGTGTCCCCAGTGTCCCCAGTGTCCCCAGTGTCCCCTGTGTCCCCCAGGGTGCTGGTGGTGACAGCGCTGGGCCAGCTGTGCCTGCTGGGCACGGGGGACACTGGGGGGACACTGGGGGCTGTGGGGACACTGGGGGTCCCAGGGGATATTGGGGGGTCCCAGGGGACATTGGGGGGTCCCAGGGTACATTGAGGGGTGTCCCCAGTGTCCCCAGTGTCCCCAGTGTCCCCAGTGTCCCCTGTGTCCCCTGTGTCCCCCAGGGTGCTGGTGGTGACAGCGCTGGGCCAGCTGTGCCTGCTGGGCACGGGGGACACTGGGGGGGACACTGGGGGGTCCCAGGTGACATTGGGGGGACATTGGGGGGTCCCAGGGGACATTGAGGGGTGTCCCCAGTGTCCCCAGTGTTCCCAGTGTCCCCTGTGTCCCCCAGGGTGCTGGTGGTGACAGCGCTGGGCCAGCTGTGCCTGCTGGGCACGGGGGGCACTGGGGACACTGGGGGGACACTGGGGGAGCTGGGGGGACACTGGGGGGTCCCAGGTGACATTGGGGGGTCCGTGGGTGTCCCCAGTGTCCCCATTGTCCCCCTGTGTCCCCAGGGTGCTGGTGGTGACAGCGCTGGGCCAGCTGTGCCTGCTGGGCACGGGGTGGGCGCTGGGGGCTGGGGGGGCCTGGGCTGGGCCGGGGGGCCCGCCCCTCCCCCAGGAGCCCCGCCCCTCCCCTCCTCTTCTGCGCCCTCAACGCGGCCCAGGGGACCTTCATCTTCCTCTGTCACTGCCTCGCCCACCCCAAGGTCAGCACCCAAAAATGAGACCCCAGGACCCCCAAGCCCCCTGGGACCCCCAAGCCCCCAGGGGACCTTCATCTTCCTCTGCCACTGCCTCGCCCACCCCAAGGTCAGCACCCCAAAAGCAGCACCCAAAAAACCCCCTAGGACCCCTAACCCCCAGGGGACCTTCATCTTCCTCTGCCACTGCCTCGCCCACCCCAAGGTCAGCACCCCAAAAGCAGCACCCCAAAAACCCCCTGGGACCCCAGCCCCCAGGGGACCTTCATCTTCCTCTGCCACTGCCTCGCCCACCCCAAGGTCAGCACCCCAAAAGTGGCACCCCAAAAACCCCCAAGCCCCCGGGACCCCAAACCACCCCAGGACCCCCAAACCCACCCTGGGACCCCAAACCACCCCAGGACCCCAACCCCCAATGACCCTTCATCTTCCTCTGCCACTGCCTCGCCCACCCCAAGGTCAGCACCCCAAAAATGAACCCCAAAAACCCCTGGGACCCCTAGCCCCCAGGGGACCTTCATCTTCCTCTGCCACTGCCTCGCCCACCCCAAGGTCAGCACCCCAAAAATTGGCACCCCAAAAAGCCCCAGGACCCCAAACCCCCAGGGGACCTTCATCTTCCTCTGCCACTGCCTCGCCCACCCCAAAGGGCAGGAAAAAGCCCCAGGGGACCCCAAAACTGCCCTGGGACCTGTTGGGGGGGTCTCCCATTCCCGGGGGTCCCCGGTGTTAGTGGGGGTCTCCCATTCCAGGGGTCCCGGTGTTAGTGGGGTCCCGGTGTTAGTGGGGTCTCCCATTCCCGGGGGTCCCCGGTGTTAGTGGGGTCCCTGAGTGTTAGTTGGGGTCCCTGGTGTTAGTGGGGTCTCCCATTCAGGGGTCTCCCCATCCTGGGTGTCCCCGGTGTTAGTGGGGGTCTCAGTGTTAGTGGGGTCCCTCACTGCGGGGAGGTCCCGGTGTTAGTGGGGTCCCGGTGTTAGTGGGGGTCCCCGGTGTTAATTAGGGTCCCCGGTGCTAATTGGGGTCCCCTGTTAGTGGGGGTCTCCCCATTCCCGGGGGTCCCGGTGTTAGTGGGGTCCCCGGTGTTAATTGGGGGTCTCCCCCATTCCTGGGGGGGTCCCCGGTGTTAGTTGGGGTCCCCGCTGTTGGTGGGGGTCCCCGGTGTTAGTGGGGGTCCGGTGTTAGTGGGGTCTCCCAGTCCCGGGTAATTAGGGTCCCCGGTGCTAATTGGGTCCTGTTAGTGGGGGTCTCCCATTCCGGGGTCCCAGTGTTAGTTAGGGTCCCCGGTGTTAGTGGGGGTCTCCCGGTCCCAGTGGAGGTCCCTGTTAGTGGGGTCCCATGATCTTGGGAGGTCCGGTGTTAACGGGGTCTCCCATCCCGGGGGTCCGGTGATAGGGTCCGGTGTTGGTGGGGGTCCCCAGGTGTTAGTGGGGAGTCCCGCATTCACGGGGTCCCGTGTTAATTGGGGGTCCCCGGTGTTAATTGGGGATCTCCCATTCCCGGGGGGGTCCCCGGTGTTAATTGGGGGTCCCGGTGTTAATTGGGGGTCCCTCACTCCCTTGGGGGGGGTCTCCCATTCCCGGGGGTCTCCCCCATCCCGGGGTGTCCCCGGTGTTAATTGGGGGTCCCCGGTGTTAATTGGGGTCCCCCTGTTAATTGGGAGGTCCCTGGCATTAACTGGGATCCCCGGTGTTAATTGGGGTCCCCCTCTTAATTGGGGGTCCCCAGTGTTAATTGAGGGTCCCCAGTGTTAATTGGGGGTCCCTGGTGTTAATTGGGGGTCCCCCATTCCCGGGGGTGTCCCCGGTGTTAATTGGGGGTCCCCGGTGTTAATTGGGGTCCCTGGCATTAATTGGGGCTCCCCGGTGTTAATTGAGGGTCCCCGGTGTTAATTGGGGTTCCCTGGTGTTAATTGGGGTCCCCGGTGTTAATTGGGGGTCCCTGCTGTTAATTGGGGTGTCCCCGGTGTTAATTGGGGGTCCCTGGCATTAATGGGGGTCCCCGGCATTAATTGGGGCTCCCCGGTGTTAACTGGGGCTCCCTGGCATTAATTGGGGGTTCCACTGTTAATTGGGGGTCCCCGGTGTTAATTGGGGGTCCCACTGTTAATTGGGGGGTCCCCTGTTAATTGGGGGTCTCCCCCATTCCCGGGGGGGTCCCTGGCATTAATTGGGGTCCCCGGTGTTAATCGGGGTCCCCGGTGTTAATTGGGGGTCCCCGGTGTTAATTGGGGTCCCCCTGTTAATTGGGGGGGTCCCCGTTGTTAATTGGGGTCCCCCTGTTAATTGGGGGTCCCTGGCATTAATTGGGGTCCCCGGTGTTAATTGGGGTCCCCTGTTAATTGGGGGGGGGTGCCAGGTCCGAGAGTGGTACCGGTCCCTGCTGTGCCCCCCCCGCTCGGGCCGCTACTCCGAGTTCACCACCAGTAACACCAGTAACGTCACCAGTCACACCAGTAACGTCACCAGTAACGTCACCAGTAACACCAGTCACACCAGTCACACCCGCGTGAGCCACGGCCCCGGGAATCACTTGGGGGGGGTTGGGGTGGATCTGGGGGGTTGGGGAATTTAGGGGGATTTGGGGATTGGGGTGAATTTACGGGATGTTGGGGTGGATTTGGGGTGGATTTGGGAGGTATTGGGGTGGATTTGGGGGGTTGGGGTCAATTGGGGGGTTGGGGTGAATTTGGGTGGATTTGGGGTGAGTTTGGGGTGTTGGGGTGGATTTGGGGGTTTGGGGTGGATTTGGGGGATTTCAGGAGGTTTGGGTTGAGTTTGGGGTGGATTTGGGGGGTTTGGGGGTGAATTTGGGGGGATTGGGGTGAATTTGGGGTCCCTTGGGGAGGTTTGGGTTCCTCTGGGGGCTTTGTGGTAAATTTGGGGGAGTTGGGGGTGAATTTGGGGTCCCTTTGGGGGTTTTAGGGTGGATTGTGGTCAATTTGAGGGATTTGGGGTCAATTGGGGGGTTGAGGTCACTTTGGGTGTTTTGGGGTGAATTTGGGGGATTTGGAGTCCCCGTGGCGAGGAGGGTCCCCAAAGCTGACTCCCCTTTTTCCCCCAGGTTCCCCACCCCACCCTGGACTCGTGACCTGAGGAGTTTTTATTTTGAGGGGGTCAAAAATAAAAGGGGGCGATTTGGGTCGCCCCTCCCCATCCCCATTCCCCCACTTTAGGGTTTTTTTTTGGGGGTCCCACGATCAATAAATGAGTGTGCACAAATGGGGGTGGTCCTGAGGGGAGAAACAGGGGGAATTTGGGGTCAATTTAGGGGTTTTGGGGGAATTTCGGGGGTTTGGGGTCAATTTGAGGGTTTTGGGGGAATTTGGGGGGTTTGAGGTCACTTAGAAGGGATTTGGGGTCAATTTGGGGGTTTTGGGGGTCAATTTGAGGGATTTGGGATCAATTTGGGGTGAATTTGGGGGGTTGGGGGTCAATTTGAGAGATTTGGGATCAATTTGGGGAGTGAATTTGAGGGATTTGGGGTCAATTTGGGGGAGTTTGGGGGTCAATTTGAGGATTTAGAGGTCAATTTGGGGGGTTTGGGGGTGAATTTGGGGAGTTTGGGGATTGGGGGTGAATTTGGGGATTTGGGGTCAATTTGGGGTGAATTTGGGGGTTTTGGGAATTTCGGGGGTTTGAGGGCTCAATTTGGGGGTTTGGGGGTGAATTTGAGGGATTTGGGGTGAATTTGGGGGTTTGGGGGTCAATTTGGGGGTGAATTTGGGGAGTGAATTGGGGGGTTGGAGGGGTTTTGGGGATGAATTTGAGGGGATTTGGGGTCAATTTGGGGAATTTGGGGGTTTGAGGGTGATTTGGGGTGAATTTGGGGGGTTGGGGGCTGCAATTTGGGGGGATTTGGGGTGAATTTGAGGGGATTTAGGGTGAATTTGGGGGTTTGGGGGAGGTGGGTTCGAGGGGGTGAGTTGGGGGAGTTTGGGGTGAATGGGGGTTGGAGGTTTGGGGGTGAATTTGGGGGATTTGGGGTCAAGGGGTTTGGGTGAAGTTTGGGGGGTTGGGGGTGGGGTGAGGGATTTGGGGTCGGGAAGTTGTGAGGGGGTTTTGGGGTCAATTTGAGGTGATTTGGTGGGGGCCCAAATTTTTGTACCCCCACCAAATCACGTCCTTTTTGGGAGTGGGGTGGGGGAGTTTTTGTGGGTTTTGGTTTTTAAATTTAATTTGACAATTTTATTTCAAAAAAAAAAAATAGACTTTGATCCAAACCCCGCCCCCTCCTCCTGCCCCTCCCCACGAGGGCGGGGCCACGAGGCCAAAGGCACCTCCCCTTCCCCTTCCCTCCGGGGTCAGAGACCCCATGAGGGAAAGAATCCCCCAGTCGTGGGAGAGACCCCACGTGGGCAAAAGACCCCCAAGTGGGTAGGGACCCCCAGGTGTGTCAAGACCCCCGTGGGTAAGAGACCCCCATGGGTGAGAGAGACCCTCCCCACTCATGAAAGAGCCCCACGTGGGTAAAGGACCCCCACTCATGGAAGGACCCTCCCCACGTGTGAAAGAGCCCCACTCGTGTCCAAGGACCCCCCACATGGGAATGACCCCCCCTCATGAAAGAGCCCCCCACTCACAAAAGACCCCCACGTGGGTAAGAGACCCCCACTCGTGCCCAAGGACCCCCCCACTCACAAAGGAGCCCCCACTCGTGTCAAGACCCTCCCCCGTGAGGTGTCTCTCCTGGGAGGTCCCGAGGAGTCTCAGGTCACTCTCTCCTCAATGGGGGGAGTCCCAGGGGGGTCTCAGCTGAGTCTCCCCTTGGGGGTGGGGTCACAAGGGGTCCCAGGGGGTCCCAGGGGGTGTCAGATGAGTCTCTCCTTGGAGGAGGTAACAAGGGGGTCCTGAGGGGGGTACCGGGGGTCTCAGCTGAGCCTCTCCTTGATGGGGAGTCTCAAGG